AGTGCTCCCAGTGCAACCAGCACATCCTCCTAACCACTTGTCCTCCTTTGTCACAACAGGGCGTCGAGCCTGGACTACTATGAAATCAGGTCGAACAGCTCCCTGGAGAGATACGACAGCATCGGCCCCCCCTTTCATTGCACCTTCAAGGTAAGGAGGGGCTTTCAAACTGGCTGATGGACCCCTCGGTGGGATCACCTTGATTGTCTCCACCCCATGAGACACTGGCACCCGAGGAACATCCCTGTCCTCTGCCCTCGCAGCTGCAGAATTTGGGCTTCTTCCCCGTGGAGGGGGTGACCATCAAGCTCACCGTCCCCGTGGCCACCCGGGCAGGCAACCGCCTCCTGCTTCTGACTGAATTCATGGTGGACCAGGTAAGAGGGGGGTTTTCATCCCCATTGAGCACATGTGGGTCCCCTCTGTGCCAGGGGTAGGGATGGAGACACCTCATGACACATCACCCCATCCTTTTGCAAACCCCCCCATGCTCACACCTGCACTGACAGTCTTGGCTCATGCTCAGGCTTCTCCCTTTTGCATTCACTTGGCTGGACATGTGGAAAATTATAGTGGCCAAAGGGTTTAGACCAAATATTTCTCTGAGCTAGAGAAATACTCTCCCTCCAGTATGCAATGAATTCCTGAGGGTCTTGAGAGAATTAGATGTGTCTGGGGTGAACTGAGGGACCCTAAAAGAGGTGGGAGGGGTGGGAGCAGACCCTGGGGCACCCTGAGCCTCCCTGCAGCCGTGCAGGATTCACGTGCTGGTGATGGGAAGAGTCCAGCCCAGGAGATGGTGTGTTTATGGATGGATTTAGCTTTATTGGGGTGTTTTGTATCACCAGCTCTGGCAAAGTCCCTGTGTCACCTGTGACACCCCAGAGCATGTGGCTGGTGTCCTGGATGGAGCTCTCTGCCAGGCTGATTTTTACTGGAGAGCGGCACAAAACCACAGGAATTAATTAAAGTAGGATGCTGGACTCCTTTTGGGTTGGGACCCTCTCCATCCCACAGCTCAACCGCCAGCAAAGCCCAGGGAGTGCTGAGGTCCCCTTGCTTCCACCAGGATGGGTGCTGAGCATGGGGAAGGACATGGGGAGGGGGTCATCATGGTCCCATCCCCATGCTTGGAGCTCATCAGCTTCTCCCACAGGAGAACACAACCTGCAACATCTGGGGAAACACCACTGATTACCGGAGGACACCCGCCGAGGAGGACCTCTCCCGCACTCCACACTTGGTACGCACCTTCGTGGGTCTGATCCTGACCTGGGGCTGAGCCCTGTAGCAACCACCAAACCAGAAAGAAAGCCCTTGGGATGGGGATGCTCCATGGCTACGGGTGTGCAGCCACAGCCCCTCTGCGGGGTGTTTTTTGTTCCCCCTCCTCAGCAGCGACGCTCCCACATCACAACCTTCTCCCCTTGCAGAACCACAGCAACTCCGACGTCGTTTCCATCGACTGCAATGTGAAATTAGCCCCCAACGAGGAGATGAACTTGCACTTGCGTGGTAACCTGTGGATGAAGTCTCTGAAAGCAGTAAGTTCTCCCAAAATGGACACGTGGCTTTTGAGGAGAAATCCTCCAAAGGAGCCCTCGCACCATAAAAACTTGGTTGGGTTTTGGTTTTTCCCTTCCCTGCAGTTGCCTTCCCTCCCAGGAAGTCCAGGCACATGTGGGGTGACTTTTGTTTTCAAATTCTACTTATTTGTGCATCCAGCACCCCACACAGCACCTCATCATGGGGAATTGAATCCCCAGCTGCCCTTTTTCCCTGCAGTTTATCCTCATTCACTACTTGACCCACATCATCCTCCCCCATGGATGCACCACGCAGCATCCCAAAGCTGTGGGGAGCATCCTGGCTCTTCTTCCACCATCAGTGCTCATATCCAGCATCTCTTTCTGCAGCTGAAGTTCAAGTCACTGAAGCTCATCACGAACGCCGCTCTCCAGCGACGCTTCGGGAGCCCCTTCATCTTCCGTGAGGAGGACCCCAGCCGGCAGGTGAGACCCTGGGCAGGATGGTCACACACAGACCCTGGGCAGCTTTGGGGATGTTGTAACAACCTTGGGGAAAAAAAAAACCCTGAGGCCAGCAAAGGGAGCAGCCCAGCTCTGCAGAGCACAGAGCAACTCGGTGCAGCTGTGGCTGGAGTTGGGCAGCTCCAGTCCTGGCACCACTGGATCAAAAAGGGAAAAATCTGTTTGTGGATGAAAAGCTGGACATGAGCCAGCAACTCTGGCCCAGGCTGTCCAGAGACGTGGTAGAAGCCCCATCCCTGGAAACATTCCAGGTCAGGTTGGATGGGGCTCTGAGCAACCTGCTCTGGTTGAAGATGTCCCTGTCACTGCAGGGGGTTGGACTAGATGGCCTGGAGTGGTCCCTTCACCCCAAACCAGTCTGTGGTTCTATAACCTGAGCTGAATCACTGGTGCATGGGGTGGGCATCCTCCCCAGCAGCTCCAGCACCCTCCCAGGAGGGGATGCTCAGCATTCCCACCATCACCCCGTCCCCTGCCCACCCAGCTCTTGCCCCCAGCAGCAGTAGGAGGGAACTTTGATGCTCTTTCCTTGCAGATAACGTTTGAAATCTCCAAGCCGGAGGAGTCACAGATCCCCATCTGGATCATCCTGGGCAGCACGTTAGGAGGTCTCCTGCTCCTGGCCCTGCTCGTCCTCGTGCTCTGGAAGGTGAGCAGCCCTTAAGCCACATGCATTGGAGGCTTGGTGGAGACCACCATGCATGGAGAGACCCCCTGGTCCCACAACTCCATGTCCAGAGCCCCACTGAGCATCGCCAAAAGCTCCTCTAACCTCTTTCCACTTCCATACTACTTATATTCAAGATCTAAACCTCCTGGTGATGTCCCATCAAAAGAAAGATGCTTCCCAACCACCAGCTGAAGTAATGGTGGGTTTTTCTGTTGTTTCTCTTTGATCCCTACAGCTTGGATTTTTTAAAAGCGGGAGCCGCAGGCGAGCGGCCGAGCGGGAGCGGAGAGCCCAGGGGCTGGAGTGACGCTGCTGGGACCACCAGGTTCCTCCTCACCGGGTTATGGAGGTGCCAAGGGATTTGGGTGCTGAGATGAGAAAACATCCCTTTGTGTGAAATCACCTAAACAGGTCCAAAAGCCAAAAAAAAAAACCCCCAAAAAACCTACACACACCAAAAATCCCAACCCTACTCATGGCCCCGTGCCACAGCGAGAGGAGCATCAAATGGGTTTGCAATGAGGTTGGCAGTGGCACGGGGATGGAGGGGTCACCAAAGACACGTGTCCCCTAAGTTGGGATAAACTACAGGGATGCGAAAATCTTTTAAAAAAAAATCCTTAAAAAAAATTATATCCTGAAAAAATGATAATATCCTGAAAAAAAATGATAATATCCTGAAAAAAATGGTAATATCTTTAAAAAAATGATAATATCCTGAAAAAAAAAGGTAATATCCTTTAAAAAAATGATAATATCTTTAAAAAAATGATAATATCTTTTTAAAAAAAAAAAGAGGATTGCTCATTGCTGAAGCTGAGCTGTAGCAAACCCCTGGGCATTGCTGGCCGTGGCTCTCAAACTGCATTTCATTCGTTATCTGAAGGAATTGGGTGGAGATTTTTAATTTGCCTTCTTAATGCACTGAATACAAATGATAGCAAACGAAAGCACCTTAATGCAAATCTCCAGTGTCCAGCTGTACATACTTATTTTAAAAATATTTACCTGTTTAAGCAAAGGAGAAAAAAAATAAAAATAAAAATGAAAAAAATAAAAATAAAAATCAAAACCCAATTGGAAGTGTTTTCTACAAACTGAGCAGTTTGGAAGAGCCTGTGCCCAGCAAAGGTCCCCACGTGTATTATAATTGTACATATTTGGTGTCACGCGAAACCGGATGAGCGGTGCTGTCTGACAAAAATCTTTCTTTTTTTGCATAACAGAATTATTTATGCTAATAATAATTAATTTTTATGGATGAAAAGAAAGCATACGTCCAGCGGATGTGTAATGAGATGTGTTAGATACTGTCCTCGTATTTTTTAAGGAATTAAAAATACAGTATTTTAAAAATGAAGAGGTTTTACTCCCCTTTCTGTACTAGCTCATTTCCACAGCTTGGGTGGGTACCAGCTGCTCACATCCCTCTGGAGCAGAGGATGGAGCTCAGACTTTTTCCTCCACTTGTTTATTATGGGATGTATATTTTCTGCAGCCTGTTTTTAAGGGATGTTTTCAGGTGGGACAAGCAGCCCCAGAATCTTTGTGACCCCAGAGGAATCAGCTGCAGAATCAGCCCTATGCATTGCATCCAATGAGGGGGGGGGAAATCTGATTTTTTCATTGCTAGCATCCTCACCTTGAATGGGAGTTGTTAATGTCACAGTTTCTGGCTGATTCTGGTCCCAAGGGGTCTGGCTGGGGTGCAGGGCTACCCTGGAGAGCCAAAATCCCAGCACAGGTACCAGGGTGGGTGGCACTGCCAGGGCTCCAGCACCAAATTTTGCAGATTTCTTTTTTCTCCCTCTTCATCACCAAGCAATTTTCCTTACGGCTGTTGAAAGCACACAGGCAGGCTGTGGGAGAACTGATACAGCCTCTTCCCAACCTTTTATTGACAGGGAAAAAAATAAATAACTAACAACTGCTTTTCAAGGCTTTGTCTAAAAGCATCTGAGCCCTCGGTGCGTGTGGATGTGGATCTGTGCACGGGTAGTTGTGTGGGGTGTGTGGATAAGAGTGTGTGTGTGTGAGAGCAAGAGCATCTCCAGCTTTGGGAAGCTGAGCTCACAGGGGACAGTTGCACCAGCTAGGATCTCTCTGTAGCTGTTATGTGTGTGTATATATGTGTGTACATACATATATATATGTGTGTGTATATATGTATGTGCGTGCATGCATATACATTTATGTATGTGTGAATTAAAAGTGTGGCTGTATATACATATAGGCATATATATGTGTGTGTATATATATATACATATATACATACACACATATTTCTATACTGTCCCTGTATACACACCTCCTGCCCAGCAGCATCATAGATGCATGTGTGGGTGTATATACTTAGGTATGTGTGTATTATTTAAAAAGTGTCTGTATATAAATATAAGCATACATATATATGTGTATATGTGTGTGTGTGTGTGTATTTGTGTGTGTGTGTACATATATACACGTTATTCTCTAATATATATATTTCTATACTGGCCCTGTATACACACCTCCTGTCCAGCAGTATCATATATGCATGTCTATGCATATATATTTATGTATGTGTGTTATTAAAAAAGTGTGTCTGTATATAAATATAGGCATATATATGCGTGTGTGTACATATATATTATTCATATATATATTTCTATATTGTCCCTGAACACACAGCTCCTGCCTAGCAGCATCATGTGTGCATGCATATACATTTATGTATGTGTGTCTTTAAAAAAGTGTCTGTATATACATATAGGCATATATATATATGTGTGTGTGTGTGTGTGTATTTGTGTACATATATATATATATATTTCTATACTGCCCTTGTATACACACCTGAGGTTTTGCAGCTACTGAGTTAAAGCTCCTTACACCATCAATTTAACTCAAAAGTGATGCAGGCAAAGCAGTCAAGTGGCTCCACATGGTTTCTTTGGTTCACAAACTGATGCTCAGGCAGGGAACCAGCACGGTGTGGTGCCAAACACAAAACTGCTGGAGCCCTGTCATTTGGGAAAAAATAATAAATAAATTAATAAATAAAAAAATAAAAATAAAAATAATAATAATA